GCCCCAACCCCGGGCCTGGCTCCAGGGTGGGGCCCCGGCTGCGCCATGCCGGGCGACGTCACGGTCCTTGATTTTAATCTATTCATAAAGGGCTTTTGAACCACTCTTAGTCTGACCCGTCACCCAGGACCTGTTTGCCTTGGGAGACCCTACCAGGGACATATAGACCCGACAACATAGCTCCTAGGATCACTCGGGTACTCAAACCCCTCCACCACAATAAGGTGGCGGTTCATGCAGAGGAAGTTGCATTGTTAAATGAAACAGATTTTAGGCTGCAGGGCTGCACAATCCTCCACAGGGATTTAAACAAATAACTTTTAAAGTATAGGTACAAAAAATAAATTTCTACGATGTCAGTTTTGCTACTGTCAGGTTTTTTGTAATAGGCTAAAGGGGCATTAGGCAAAGTATTACCTTAATGGGCCTCTCCTGATGACTCATAACAGCGCTGACAGAACCGATCACCTCCTGAGTTATAGCTTCCTGTAATGACACAAACATTAAAGTCACATTTTCTCAACAGATACAACAAAGCAACTGCAACAAATAGGCAAGCTAATTAAAGAGGAAACCCAGCAAAAACACCTAATGAAGGGATAATTAAGTGTAGTGTACCCCAAAAACATTCTGTAATAAAATTGCTTTACTCTTTGCTGTTTCAGCTTTAAACAAGTTATGACACACCATCATTAAGTTCTCAGAAATGTGCATATAAATAGGAGGGTTTAGAGCTCGATTTTTAAATAGCATCAAAATAAATATTAAAATCAGTCACTGACCAACATCCCCGTCAAATTCCTACTGATACAATTTTATCATTTTGTGCTATAGAGCAATTAAAATCTGCATGTTTTGACAAACAGTGCTTTTTATTGCATTATGGTCAGGGAGCGATAAGTAAGGGGTCAACACAAGACACTTTATTACCCTGTGTGCACCTTGGTGGCGTGCAAATGTCACCCTCCATGCTTGGATACTTGTTTACGAGGCTCATAGTTCAAATATGAAACTGAAAGCTGTTACTGTTCCCCTTACCTCTTTTTACCACTGCTCCCCTGCTGAGAGTAGTAGTAGTTTCAGAGAATGGTTCAAGAGCAAGTAAAAGCACACAGCTTCATGCCGCTGCTGTGCGCTTTAACGCTGTCTCAGCCTCTGTGGAATCAGAACAGCTCAGGCAGAGATAACAAATCTGCACCTGGGCTGCTGTGAAGCCAGACAATGACACAATTGATCATGTTTTTGTTTTTTTTCTTTCCAGAACTCCATGGAGATTTGGGTCAGAATAACACTAAACCAGGGGAGTATGAATTTCTGGGGTTGAATATTTATCAAGTACACACAATGTTTGCTTCCCTGACAAGGAATATGCAATAGATGAAGACAAAAGGAATGTGTGAACAGTCAGTGAAGACAAAGGCAGATATTATATGTGTGTAATCTGAAATTAAATTTTCCTTCTAGCAGGGAAAGAAAATATTTGCAGTAGGTTTTTATTTTAAATTTGCTTTACAAATTAGTACAAAGTTTCATAAGCCACACCACAATCTTCCCCTGTCTAAAGGGAGAGTTTGGAAAGCTTCTTTGAGTCACTGACAGCTTGGGAGTAATGAGTAGATTGCTTTTCTCAGTGAAGCACAGCACATCAAGTAACCAGAGGTCAGTTTCTATTCTCAATCAGCAGTCACTTGTCTGAGTGCCTGAAATGGACAGCAGTTGTCACTAGCTGAATTTCAATAAGTTGCAGGCCAATTAATCCTTTTTCAAGAAGACAATAAAAAGCTAAACAACGTTCACAGCCCTAAACAGCTGATATTTGACTCTAAGGCACATTTCTGTTGCATGATGTGAAAGAAAATGCTTTGTGATGTTTATTAGAAGACTTGTTGCTTGACCTGATTTTGACCTATTCAGTTTCTTTAAGCAAACTGCCCAACTGACCCAGACTGAGTCTGTCTCGGCCTTTAACAGTCATTAAGTGTGCGCCCACCTTAACTAGATGCTCCACTATGTTTGGTACCCAGATGCTTGTCTGACATTTGGTACTAGCTAAAGCTAGGCAGACACTGTGTGGCTTTTACTGATCGTGTACAAAATGTTAACTCACTGCTCACATTGTATGTTCACTCAGTCGGGAAAAGTGCGAGTGCTCACACTGGACATTTAGACAGAACCCCAGAGCAGGTGTATTGATTGACTCCAATAAAGCTGAGGTCAACATAAAGAAAAACTGTTACTTTTAGCTATTTTACTCTGTACAGCTGATGAACAGCAGTGATCTGCTGTCACTAGCCATTTCTCCTTTTGCTTCCAGTCAAGCCACCATTTTGATGCCGCTGTACACTGTGTTACTGCCACAGCTCGATTAGCCTCGTCCACACACATTATATAAATACAGCATGTCATACAAAGTCTACAGCAGGGCTGCCCAATATGTCGATCGCAAAGTTAGTGTCGGTAGATCTCGTGTCAATATAATGAGCTTAGTTAATGCTTTCAAATGAAAAATGCAACATTTTGGGGAACTTCCAAAACCTCGCATCAGAGCTGAAGACGCAACGAAAAGCATGTGCGCAATTTGACATTGCGTACTACACAGAGCAGATTGACAATTGTCGGTCAGAGTTTGACATACTCTTTCAAGACTTTGCCTCACTCGAGCCAGTCACTACATTTATGTGCTATCCATTTAGGGAAGATATTGAGGTTGATTCACTCGCATCAAAAATTGCAACACTGTTTCACCTGAAATGGTCTGGAGTGGATGAGATATTGACACTATAGACTGACATTTAGCTGAAGTCCAGGGCTAATGGACCGTTTTGGAACTTACAGAGTAAAATAACCCAAACATGAGGAAATGTGCCACTGACTGCATTATTTGGCTCTACTTATTTATGTGAGTCAGCATTTTCTCACACGAAGATTATCAAGTCCACATACCGTTCCACCATGACTGATGACCATTTGGAAATCTGCTTTAGCCTGGCTACCAGCAGCTACTGTCTGGACTATGCAGCCCTGGCTGAGTCCATTCAGTGCAAGTCATCAGAGTAAACTAATGAGCAAAAAAGTACTGAACTGTAGTGTGCCTTAAGGGTTCATGCAGTTATGCAAGGTGCGCCAACATATAGTGTTTACATAAGGTATACTCCGTATATAAATAAATATATGTTTAGTATTTTAACTGTAGGTAGATCATTTTAACTTGGTCATTTGAAAAGTAGCTCGCAAGGTGAAAAAGCGTGGGCACCCCTGATCTACAGCCTCGTTTAAGTTGATTCTGTCCACAAAATGTTATATCTCGTCTGTGCTATGTTGCTGTCTTTGTATTCGCACAAGTGGAACTAACTTTGGACTATGGACTTGCAAGACAACTGAACAGATTTCCAGATTTTCCAGAAATCCACCTGAGCAGTCATGGGCTAGATTGCTGGTCATTATGGGTAATTAATCACATGCCAGAAGCCTGCTCACACTGTACTTCACAAATTTGGCAAAGCCAGTTGATGGCTGTATAATTTAGAATCCCATTAGGACTAATACTTAGCCCATATATTTTTAAGCAAATCATACTTTATGGAATCTATTCATTAAGTTTTATATCCTAAATGTCAGACCAAATTGGACTTTAAAATACTCAGTCTCACATAAAATGTTTCTAAATGCCAATCAGCAAAACACTATTTTCACCAATGGAAATTGCAAATTAGGTGAATTACCCCCTTAGATCAAGTAGGATATGATGACAGCAGTCTGAGAGCCTCCGGCTTGGCAAATACAATAGTATGCATTTTTTGTCACAAATGTATAATAGCAGATTTTTTGCAATGAGAGAGTAGAGCTAAAGTGGGAACAAGAGAACACTTGCCATTTTCTTGAAGTTAGTTAACAAAACATTCTGGTTAGTCAACAGACCAGAAAACCCAAGCACCCCTCACACAACTGAGCTTCTTTATCACAACCCACCAGCAGCTTGTGGATGAAAACTTAGCGCAGCATTAGCATGCTGCAGAGCATGAGTCAGTACAAAGTATGACAAGCACAGTGGAATTACCAGGCAGAAAAACCAGTCATTTACATTCTGACATGAAAGAACAAGCATGCTCTACAATGCGCTTATTCTATTGCTCCAATATCTTTTCAAACATAATACTTCAATAAAGGCAATAATCTTTGACTATTTTCCTGCACATTTCTGAGTTACTGATAATATAAAAACTGAATAATGAGGTCATTATTAACAGTATCACATTACCCTCTAACTTGTGTGGGGCATTCGTCTGCCTGTGCTACAGTGCTGTAAAACACAAATGTCATTCAGTCGCACACTGATTCATAGTCTCAATTAGCAGCTGCTCCAATATGTCCCAAGATCATGCTGTCTTTGTAAACACCAGGAGGGTCTTTTCAAATTATGCTTTAAAAAGGCTTATGATAGAGGTCCATTTACATGTAAATTGAAACAACAATGGCAGAAAAGAGGAATTTCAAACATCAAGAATTCTAGCAAGGACCTCTGAACCAACCAAGCAAAGGTTTTGTAAATTGAATTAATAAGATTGACTATTTGCTGTTTTTAGCAAAAAAAGAAAAAAACACTTGAACAACCCATAGCACAAAATAAGAAACTGGAAACTGGTGTGTTTAGTAGCTAGTGAGCCAATCCCAGCTGACATTGGGCAACAGGTCACCAGTCTATCACAGGGCTGACATGTAGACAAACAACCACACAAACTCACTCATTCCTACAGGCAATTTAGAGTCACCAGTCAACCTAAGCTGCATGTCTTTGGTCTGTGGGAGGAAGCCAGAGTACCCGGAGAGAACACACACAGGGAGAACATGCAGACTCCACATAGAAAGGCACCGGGTCGGCCAGGGCTCAAACCCAGAACCTTCTTCCTCTGAGGCGACAGTGCTAACCACCGCACCGCTGTGCCGCCCCTGACAGATGTGAAAGAGGACAGGCATTCATCAGGTGGCCAGAGACAATGAATCATAAGCAACTGTTTGCTAACGTTTTAATGTATAGGGTGAAGGCACAGCAGTAGTGTCTATTCACCTTGTTTCTGACCCTGAGGGGTCAGAAAATGAATTTCTGTAGGTCTGAATTACAATATTTTCTCATTTAAAAATATTTAAGTTTTTTTAATGTCACCTTGAGGTGGCAAATATTACCTCGCTCGGAAACCAAATTTCTAAAGGTGCATTGTACTGTTAAAGCTTCAGGGTCCTGAACTTCTTGCTGAATATGGAGTGAAAAGTGTAATCTGGATAACATATATGACTAAATCCTGGTGACCCTGTGACAGCATGTTTTTTTAAGTGCTTCTATTGACTCACTGAGAAAAAAAACCCTTTAAATTCATTCCACTCACTGAATTATTTGCCTCTGATTCAAAATTCTAAATAGAATTTGGGTCAAGCTTTACAGATAAATTTTCCTCAAATATTTACTGAGCCCCCACCTCCTTTTATTATGA